TTGAATATGTTCTTGGGTGTGTAACTGCGTGTGAGGCTTGGTCAAATCTTGTGGATCGATTTGCTTCAGTGTCTAAATCTCGAGTTAATCATCTAAAGACTGAATTGCATACAATTCAGAAAGGCGGCGATTCGATTGATAGATATCTGTTAAGGTTGAAAAATATAAGGGAACAGCTAACTGCTGCTGGAGAACTCATTTCTGATAATGATGTGATAATTGCTGGGTTAGCTGGGTTACCAAAAGAATTTCCCTTCATTCGAACAGTCATATTAGCCAGAGAGTCTTCTATTTCTTTGAAAGAATTTAGGGCTTTGTTGCTTGGGGCAGAAAAAGAAATTGAAGGTGAATCCAGTGGTGTGTCTAATAATCTTTCTGCATTATATGTTTAAGGGTCTCAATCTACTCCGGGTGATTCATCAGCTTCGGGTTCTAATCCTGCAGGGCATAGTCATTTACCAGCAACAACTGGAGGTGTTCTTACCTCTTGTCCATACCCTTATTCTGCGGATCCTTATATGCACCAATATTCATCTCCATTTGTCCTCCCACAGCAATATCCACAGCCATTAATCCCTCAACAGTTTCCTCCTCCAGTTCATTCTTCTATTCCTTATGGTTTTGGTTATATGGGTAATGCTCCAAGTTCTGGTCCCAAACCTCCATTTATGCAGAAGCCGAATTATAAGGGTAATTCTGGTTATAAATCTAACACTGGTTTTAAAGGTAAGGGTTACAATACCAGTTCTTCTTCTGGATATTCTTCTGGTACTACCAGACAATATGGTTCGAGTGGGTAGCATGGGAATACTGAGAACAGGTCTACTACAGTGATTGAATGTCAGATTTGTAACAAAAGAGGACATACTGCGGTTAATTGTTTTCACAGAAATGGTCAGGGTCCAAGTACTGGGTTTCACATGGAGTGTCAGATTTGTGGGAGACGTGGTCACTCGGCACTTGACTGTTATCACATGGGGAACTATGTTTTCCAAGGTCAACAACCCTCTTCCACTTTAACAACAATGGCAGCACAGCAAACTGAACAAACTGTTCCTCAAGATGCTTGGATTATGGATACTGGTGCATCTCACCATATCACTGCTGATGTCAACACACTTAGTCAAGTCACACCATTCCAAGGTTCTGATACAATTACAATTGGCAATGGGACAGGTTTATCTATTGCAAATACTGGTGCAACTACAATTAAAACCAACTCTCATAATCTTGTTCTTAACAATGTTTTACATGTGCCAAAAATAGCTCGAAGTTTGCTCTCTGTTCAACAATTATGTGCTGACAATCATAGTTGGTTTATCTGTGATGAGACTCAATTTTTTGTGCAGGACAAGAAGACAAGGGCCATCCTGTACAGAGGAAAGAGTAGAGCCGGCCAATTGTTTCAAATTCCTGTTGTCAAGCATTCAAGAGGAGCACAATCTGTGGTTAAGGAACCTTCTATTTTTCTTGGGCAATTAGTCAAATCCACCCTGTGGCATCAACGGTTTGGTCATCCGACTAATGAAATAATGTCTATCATGTTAAGACAGTCAAACATACCAGTCGATTTAGATGCAAGTCATAGTATATGTACTCATTGTATTCAAGGAAAGATGTGTAGACTTCCTTTTTCTCCTAGCAGTGATCGGTATTGTTTTCCATTTGAAAATGTGCATTCAGATGTATGGGGTCCTGCTCCAGTCAAAACAGTAGAGGGGTATAGATACTATGTAACTTTTGTTGATCAATATACCAAATATACTTGGATTTTTCCAATGTATAACAAATCAGATGTGTATAGCATTTTTCTGAAATTTTTTAATCTTGTTCATACACAGTTTGGTGTTGTCATTAAGTGTCTACAAACTGATGGGGGGGAGAGTACACAGGTCATTCTTTTAAAGCCTTTCTTGATGCAAAAGGTGTTGAACACTTGATTTCCTGTCCATACACTCCTCAACAGAATGGAGTTGTTGAAAGAAAACATAGACATATAGTAGAAACTGCCATAACTCTTCTTGTTCAGGCTGCATTGCCGATTGAGTTTTGGTACTATGCTTGTGCACATGCTGTATTCTTGATTAATAGAATGCCATGTAAAGGGTTGTCTATGGAGTCACCTTATACGAAATTGTTTGCCAAGATTCCAGAGTTAAAAAGTTTGAAAGTGTTTGGGTCAGCAGTATACCCTTGGTTAAAACCTTACTCTGTTCACAAGTTACAACCTCGATCTGCCCAATGTGTGTTCTTAGGATATTCTATCGGCTATAAAGGTGTGATTTGTTATCATGTTCAGACTAAGAAATGTTTCATCTCCAGACATGTTGTTTTTGATGAAAGTGTCTTTCCTTATGCATTGTTAAAATCCTCAGTTCAAGAAGATGTTCCAGTTCATTTTCGGTTTAGCAGTGTAGTGGTCCCAATTCCAGTGGTCCAAAGATCTTCAGATCATGGGAATTCAGGTTCTCAACATGGTCAGGAAGCATCTTCTTCATCTTCTACTGCAGTTCATCATGATATACAGACATCTATTTCTTCTTCAAACACAGGTAGTTCTACCACACGGGGATTTGAAACACAGGCATTTCCACAAACTTTTTCCTCATCTCCACATGCAGGTCCCTTGCTTCCTGTCCTTGATCCTGCTCAGCTTCAGGTAATTCTTTCTTTGCCTCCATCACATACACACTCTCAATCACCGTCCCAGGACAATGTTATTCAAACTAGACTTAAGACTGGTGCTATTGTGCGGAGAGATTACACTTCATTTCTGGCTTCATTACCTCAACTAGACTCTCTTCAGTTTCTGGATAGTGATACTGGGGAGTCCAATTGCTCTTTATCATGTGGTTTTTCATTCTTGGCTGACATACATGAAGTAGAGGAACCAAGGACTTTTAAAGCTGCATCAACAGTTCCTCAATGGCAAAAGGCTATGCAGGAGGAGTATGATGCCCTCAAGTCTCAGGGTACATGGAACCTTGTTCTCCCTCCAAGTGATAGAACAGTGATAGGGTGTAAGTGGGTCTATAAGGTAAAAAGGAATCCTTATGGGACAGTGTCAAGATACAAAGCTAGATTGGTGGCTCAAGGTTTTAGTCAAGAGCACGGGGTAGATTATTCAGAAACCTTTAGCCCTGTGGTTCGACATTCAACTGTACGACTCATCTTGGCATTGGCAGCACAATTTCACTAGAGTTTAAGACAGTTAGATATTAAAAATGCTTTTTTACATGGCGAACTTGAAGAAGAAGTGTATATGAAACAACCCCAAGGGTTTGTGGATCCAAACCATCCTAATCATGTGTGCAGATTAGTAAAGTCTTTATATGGCTTGAAACAAGCTCCAAGAGCTTGGAATTCCAAGTTTACTAGTTTTTTACCTGCTCTCGGGTTTAAAACTTCGATGTCTGATACAAGTTTGTTTGTGAAAGCTGATGGGAGTGATGTTATTTTGCTTATGTTATATGTTGATGACATCATTCTGACCGGATCCAATCCTGTGAAGATTCAAGCTGTGATTACCAATCTTGCAGATGTGTTTGATTTAAAAGATATGGGTCAGTTGACATATTTTCTGGGTCTTCAAATTCACTATAATGCAGATGGTTCTTTGTTTGTGAATCAATCAAAGTATACGAAGGAATTAGTGAAAAAGGCTGGAATGGAGCATTGTAAGCCAACCTCAACACCTTCAAAACCACATTCTCAATTACTTACAACGGAGGGAATCCAATTGTCTGATCCTACACACTATAGAAGCCTGGTTGGAGCCCTGCAATATCTTACTTTTACTAGGCCTGATATAGCACACTCTGTCAATGTTGTATGCCAATATATGACCAATCCTACTGAGTTACATATGCATTTGGTCAAACGAATCATACGGTATCTGCAGGGTACAGCAACCTGTGGTATCCGATACACTCACTCTTCTGATTTTCAGATAAATGCATACTCTGATTCTGACTGGGCAGCAGATATTAATACAAGACGGTCCATTACAGGCTATGTGGTTTACTTAGGTTCTAATCCGGTTTCATGGCAGTCAAAGAAACAGGCAACGGTCTCTCGAAGTTCTACAGAGGCAGAGTACAAAGCCTTGGCCCATTGTGCTGCTGATGTATTCTGGATTCGTTCTGTTCTTAAGGATGTCCATCAAGTTCTTACACTACCTCCTACTCTACATTGTGATAATCTTTCTGCTCTAGCTTTATGTTCTAATCCTGTGTTTCATTCGAAGATTAAACATCTTGATACGGACTATCACTTTGTCCGAGAGAAAGTTCAAAAAAGAGATCTTGCTGTTCAGTCATATCCACAAATGAGCAGGTTGCCGATGTGTTCACTAAAGGTTTGCATAGTCCAGTGTTCATTCACCACTGTGTCAATCTTCATGTTGGAGTGCCTGAGGATAATCCACAATGTTCTCAAACATTTCAAGTGCCGACATTAGCAGATCAAGATCCTATCCATATCAACTCCTCCTCATTGTCATGATCATCTATTTCTTTAGTGCTGCAAACACAATTCGGGAGATCCCAATTCTGTTTGAGGGGGGAGTATTAACCATATAGATTTGGATTAGATTGAGTTTGTTAAATTTGGATTAGATTGAGTTTGTTGAAAAACAGTTAGAGTTATAGTTTGTTGAAAGGGTAAAAGTGTAAATCTGCTCATTATAGTTTCTATATAAGCCTTGTTTAGAGACTTAGAGCAGTATCATGTAATCATAAAGCTTTCTACTATTTCATTGAAAACAGAAACGTCTATCTCTCTCTTTCTTACTACTTGTTCTTCATTTTCTTTAGTCTCAAGATCTCATTGATTCTTTAGAGTTAATACGCTCTGCACAGATTTGTCAAAATTGATGCCAGGTTTGAAGGAGGCCCCTAAATTTTTTTTTCTCGATTTTTCTTTCCAATTGCCTCCCAGACCCTGCGTAAAGCGGGAGCCTTGTGCACTGGGTACGACCTTTTTTTTTTTTTTCTTCCCAATTGCCGCTCGGATTTTGCTCTTTTTTTATTTTTTTTTATTCTGTAGTTTCCAAATTTGAATTTTCCAGAAATTTAATTTAATTGTTCTGAAATCCGATTACAAAAATCAAAATTTGATTGTACTGTTATGAGATGATTCAACGGTTCATTGACAACATCATCGCCGTCACCAAAGAGTGAGATTCTTCCTTCCCTTTTAACCAATCGATTCGAATTCGAATTGCTTTTGAATTTCGAATTTGGTTTTTTTGGAATCGTTTTTGAAATTGGGTTTTGGTTTCATGGCTGCAAGGGCAGCCGTCGTAGTGGTCATCGGCTGTTGTTACAGTGGAACAAGAAAAATGGCAGATTCGCCATGGCAACCGAAGAAAGAAGATTGGCTGGGTGTCTTTGAAGACATACTGAAAGTGGTGGCGCGGGTGGGCGGATCTGTGGGGTTAGGCTGGGTGGGAACTTTACACGCTATACGAGTGTTTTTTTTTTTTTTTTTTTCCAACGCTATACGAGTGTTTGGTTCCTATGATAAAAACCCCATTGCTCAATCTTTTGTTTTTTTATTTTCGTGTCTACTTCTGCTGATTGTTACAGGGGTTTAGCTAGACTGGGAAATGACTGGATCCTCACTTATAGATAGGTTTAGTTTGTCATTGTATTGGTCATGGATGGTTATTCTTCCAAATACAGGGGAACTGAATAGTATAGAAACACAACAGCCTTCTTTGTGGAAAGCTTTTGCCAGTCATAGATAGGCTAAACTCCGCTGTTTTCAGACTTGTTGATAAATATGGTAGTTATTGAACCGTTTTGGCGTTTTTTCTATGGGTATACTATCCACACATCCTTTTTTACTTCTCACACATCCTCTTAATTTCAGGCTATCAGATTAAATGAATTGAAGAATATCAAATGACAGAAATTAATAAAGGGTGTTGAGAAGTAAAAAATGGTGTGTGGATAGAACATCACTTCTTATAACATTCGCCATTGTTTGCTGTGCATATATTTTGGCCAAGGTTTCTGACATCAACGGACACTTTCCCCAGACGTGTTATCTTCCGCAATAAAACACGTTAGTGTTGGGGGCGGAGGTTACCCAAGATGTTCTCGCTGCCATGCTCGCAACTTTCACCCAAGCTCGTTGATGTTGTACACAGCGTACAATCTGATCAGCAGCTTCACTGTTCCTCTATCCGATCGCCCAAACCAAAATTCAGTTTCCACAATTCGTGGAAATTCAAAATCCAACCAAAAGGAAAGAGCTTTTTTCTTAGCTTTTGTAATCCAGCCATTTGGATCCTCTGCAATACATTACACAGGTTAATCCATAATGTTTTCCACGCAATATATTACATTTTTCTCGACTTATTTTCATGTTTTATGAACGGATTTGGATCCTCTGCAAGCTTGATTACAATACAAAAAGTATGACAAATAGGTAACTGAAACACGAATTGAATTCATTTTCTATGTAACGGAAATGGATATGAAGACTTTCAATATAATTATAATGTTTAGTTGCAGGCATTCTATAATTACTAACAAATCAAATACTCACATCTGCCAAGTCCTTCATCCTCTGTGTTGGATCAAAAACGCTTCAGACAAATGCTCCTAAGTCCACTTGGGAATCCTCGTACTTTGTGATGAAGGGGTGTGAAAGTATCTGCAGAAGAAGAATACTAGTTAAACAATGTTGATGTCAAGCTACCATCTCCCAGTTTGAAATCTGTGGCTAATACGATCATCTGCATCCTTTTGCAGGCAGGCTTCAATAAACGAGCAGAATTCTGATGAAAATTTGTGTTTTGAAGGTGTAGGTGATGGATCACGCAAGATCTGCCATAGACCGCAGAACCTCAGTTGCAAAACAACGTTGGATGTAGGCATTGGTAAGGGTATGAATGCAGCATAAGATTGACAGGTATTTACCTGCAGCATAAGATTGACGGGCCCTTCATTAGCTGTATATGAAAATTCTCTAGTACCACACTCAAAGAGAGCAAGACCAAGGCTCCAAATATGACCTGGATAAGAATAATTCTCGTTTCGAATTCGCTCAGGCGACATGTAAGTGACCGTCCCAACAAATGTCGCAAACTCGTAATTACATTGCTAGATTTGTTAATATCAAAAGACCACTTTTAATATCTATGCGTCAAATGTAACGCGAAAGGAGACGCTGCCAGTAGTGGAAATGAATGCACTGAAGAAATCAGTGATGAATCATGACGATTAAACCAAAGTACAAAGATGCAACAAGTATCACGAACCGCATCAGTATCCGCCAATGATCCTCCATCGATATACTCTAAAGCTATGCTTATTTGACCAGAATCCGGTGTATAGAATGCGCCATGAAATTCTACAAGGCCTTAGTAACAAGGTGGTTCGCAGTGTCAGTATCTCAGTAAGCAGCTGTTGCCTTTTCTCCTATCATGCAACAAACAACGCTCTGTTTCAATTCCCACACTCAAAATTTATGGGGTTTTTTCCGCAGCATTTCCTTTCCGGTCACTAATCACTAGCATAAAGTTCCTAAATTTGGAATTTACACGGGAAATCAATATAATTACTACTAATCAATACTATGATCCCATTTCACAGCAAAAAAAAAAAAAGACGTAACATAAACAGAATTATCCGAAAAGGCGACATATGATACCTTTTCGAAAATGTTGATCTTCTTTAGCGCTAGAATCCGATAAGTGGGAATGTGGATAGCTCTGTGCACAACGCTGCTGGCGCCGCTGCCAATTGCCCAAACACCCTCATATCCTCAGTGGCACACCGGTAGGTCTACTCGGCGCTGTCATCCACCGCCAAGGTCGTGCATTTCTGCAATCCGAGCTCGTTGATGTTGTACACGCCTGTCCGATAGCTTCAACCCAAAACCCAGAAATCAAATTTCCACAATTTCCAGAAACCCAAAGTTCAAAATTTGATTATTCGGATTGCAAAAAAAGCCAAAAGTGCTTACTGTGTAGGAATCGCAAGGGTCGAGCTCCAAGGAAGAGCCGCCGGCGGAGAAGCCCTTTTTGCAATCGGACAAAGTGTGAGCTTTTTTGTAAGTTCTTCTATTCCAGCCATTTGGGGATGATGAATTGATCGAATTTTGGTTCGACTTGATTTGTATTTGGTGATTTGAATTGAGATGTTGCTCATCCTCATCATATTCTTTTAAAAGGATTGTTTTTTTTTAATTATATTTCGAATGTATGGGACAAATGTTTTATTCCAAGTGATATTTTTGTTGAAAATATTGATTAGATGCATGCTACTTTTTAAACAATAAATCATCTAAGATAAATATTAGTATATCAAATTTTATCATCATAATTTATTAAATAAAATAAACTAAATAAGAAAAAATACTTATCTTTTATAGGGTAGAAACCGATCTTTGTTGATGTTTTGATTAGAACAAGATTTTAGGTTGAGGTGTATAATCGCGGTCCTTAAGAGTAGATTTTGCCGCTCAAAGACAATGTCCCGGTGTAGCAAGGTATAGCGTCATACTCTTCAAAATACAACAACCTATGATCCTTGTATGCGTACACTCGCAATACTTGAATCGAGTGAACAATTCGATTATTTCCTTTGGTGTGGAGGGAGTGAAAAATATAATAAAGCTTCCAAGAATAATGGATCAAAAGGATAGAAGAAGAAAGAAGAGGAGATGATTGTAATCTTCATTCTTGTCAATAGAGACTAACAAGTATATATATATAAAGGGGTAAATTATATAAAACTACATCAACTATTAGGTTAGTCATAGTTTCATACTCTATCTTTAAAAAATGTCAATGTTATACCTCATCTTACGAATTTCTTACAATTTCATACATTCCGTCAGTTTGTCTGTCAATTCTTCTGTTACATAGTAACATGGCTTAAAAAATGAATAAAGTATTAAAAACTAAAAAAATAAAATCATTTAATATATATTTTTTTACATGGGGACCCACCCCTTATCCCCCTCACCCTTTCTTCCCCATCCCGTCTTCCCCAAACCCAAAACTAGATCCACCCATTTCTCCATCATCATCATCATCGCCGTCACCTAAACCACCACGAATTGCCGCCGCGCCGTCATCAAGTCATCCGCAAGCTCCGAAATCGACATGGTGAAAAACAAGTAAGACATATACATGATGAAGCAGAAGAATGTCGTGATCTTGTGGGACCTGGACAATAAACCCCCTTGCGAGCCACCGTACCAGGCAGCGATGGCGCTAAAACAGCTAGCCCAGCGTGTTCGTGGCTAGAATTTCCGCTGGGGATGTTCTCTAGCCGACAAGCACACAGCTCCCCGAGAGGTTGGCACCGGTTGATGCTTTCTGTCGGGCTTCTGCTTTACTGGCGGGCTTATCGGGCAAGGCTGAAAGAGAAAGACAAAGTTAACTTTGAGAGGTGCCTTTGTGGGGTCTTAGGTGTAGGCCTTGAGGCTCACAATCAAGATTAACTTTTAAGTGTTCAGGCGTGCCACTGCCATCTTCAGCATGGCAGATGTAAAACGGATGTTGAGTTTCATTTGTATATATGCCCGAGAGACCGTGTTAATTATGACAGGTGCCTTTGTGGGGCCTTAGGTGTAGGCCTTGAGGCTTCCAGTCAATAACTAATCCAGTACTCGAACATTTATTGTTTCTTCCATTGTTGCACACAGTATTATGACTGTTATACTTCTGATCATCGTGCCCGAAGAGCAGAAAGAACCCAAATAGGTGCCTTTGTGGGGCCTTAGATGTAGGCCTTGAGGCTTCCTATCAGAATTAATTTCGTACTTAAATGTTCTAGCCCGAAGGGCAGAATGAATCTAAATAGGTGCCTCTGTGGGGCCTTAGATGTAGGCCTTGAGGCTTCCTATTAGAATTCATTCTATACTCAAACGTTATATGATAATCATAATATAATAGAGACAAAACTAAGGAATAAGTCGATTACTTGCGCCCCAAGTAACTTCGGACTTCTTGTTTATCAAAGACTGTCGTGGATGGGTTAAGTCCACATAAGGTTCTTTTTTATGCCTTGAGGCCAAGGACTTTTAAATGATCAAAACTCACATGCCCGAAAGCTTAGAACTTAGATCTGGTTTGAACTGTGAAGACATATTCAAATCGGATTCAAGAACTGAAAGTATCTTTTAATTGTCATCTTACTAGAAATAACTTGAATACAACTGGAAGTATACAACATACTGCTAGTTTAATGAATGAAAAGACAGAAACAAAGAGGGTCGGGCAAGGTTTAACCTTGTCGGGCAAAGCTGATCGTTTTGCAGGTTCCTATCTTTGTGGTTTATCAAGGGATCTGAAAGCTTAGAAAGAGGGGTAAGGAGATGAGTTTACAGAGAGAAATCGATACTACAACAAGTTTTTTAGACGAGGTAACAGAGCTATTACAAAAGGTTTAGGTGAAAGTTGATCCCGAGAGGGATGAAAGCTTGGGCTGACTATAACTTCGTTTGAAGGAAAATCTGGCTTTGAGCAGAGTTTGTGCTTGTATTTGTTTGTTTGATTAAGTGTCCTTATCTCTGATTTCTCTTTCTTCTTTTATAGACACTTTGGTTTGGCCTCCTGTAGCAGTAATCCTGCCCGAATGCATCTTGAAGGGTAATGACTCATCAGCTATTTACATGTACTGCCATTGTAAAGTGTTTTTGGGCTAATGAGTTGGCTGGTCTATACCACTTGGTTTCAAAGTAGGTGAGCAAGTGGTTCACATGGTCTGCACCAAGTCGGAAAGGGATTTTTTCTGCTTTCTAGGCTTCGGCCGGGCTTCGGCCATCTCTCATTCGAGGCTTCCCTTTGGGCCAGCTCCTTCTTTGAGCCCAAAGTTCAAGTTTTAATCCAAACAGTGCCCCCTTTAATTGATATTCAGCCTGGAATTCCAGGCGCTAATATCAATTGAATAGCTCTCTATTAATATCCACGTCTTTCTCTCTCGGGATTTGCACACTTTTCAAAGGCAATCACCACTTTCCTTCAGTCACTTCACTCACTCACGAATCCCCTGCATTCTTAGCACGAAATTCTTCTGCAATCGAAAATTCCCTAACTTCCCATACGTTTTCTTTTCTACATTTTTCAAACTTTTTGTTACTCTTAGCCCGACTCCTTTTACCCTTGTTGTCTTTCTTGCCGTTCCTCTTCCAAATTTCATCGAATGGCTTCAGGATCCAGCCAAATCCAACTATCCTATGAATCTGGCGAAGGCATCGCCACTCTGCGCCGCTTACTCAACGGACTGCATCGTCCTCGGGCAGGTTTGCATTATGAGCTTTTCTTTAAAGTACATGGGGTACAATCGTTGGGTCCCGCATAGATTTCTCGGGTCCCTGCAGTGATAGAGGACAATATGCCCAAGGATAACTGGTTTTCCCCAAATCCCTTTTTGGCTAAGTCGGGCATTTCTTCATCTAAGTGGTCGTCATATCGCCGAGGCTTTCCTTTGATGAACGATCCGGCTTGGGCTTAATGGGTTGATGAACTAGAGCCAATTTTTAAGAAGAAATGGATGAATAATGGTATTTATGAATTGATAATGCTCTCGAAAACCACCATTATCCCCAAGCCCGAACTGCTTGCTTTTTCTCTTCTTTTTTGGAATTCGGGCACAAACACTTTTGACTTCCGTATGGGTCCCATGTCTCCGACTGTTCTTGATATGGCCCAGGTCTTCGGGCTAAGGCCATCGGGCAGGATAGTGGATGTCACTCAAGACTGGGCTCCTCCTTCAATTGCTGAAAGCTCAGGTTCATCTGCCTCTTTCCTTTCTTTGGAATATAATTCCACAACCTTTAAGAGTTACGGGACCTCTTTCAAGGGATTCATCCCTTTTGTAAAGGAAAATTTTGGAGCAGGTTCTTCTCGTGTTGATAAAAATCAAGAGCACATGTATTTCCTTTTATACTGGCTCAACAAACATGTCTTCCCCAATAAGTCTAAAGGAGTGAAGGTTGAATGGATCCCTTTGGTGGAAGCTCTTCATAACTTTGATGATGTAGCTACAGGTCCATTCCTTTTTTCTCACATTTACCATCTCATTTTTGAAATAACTCAAGTTGAGCCATTTGAGACTAACCTGAATGGACCCATATGGATGATACAAACATGGCTTCAATGGTACTTCCCAAAGTTTCGGGCTGCTAACTTAGAGTTCCCAGAAGGTGTGGCCCCTGCCCGAATCCTAGCTGAAGCCGTTCCTACCGATCACTCCACATTTGCTTACTTTTACTTCTTCAAGGTTTGTAGGACTCGGTCATATTTGGAATGGGGCGCGTCAGTTTTGAGGAGATATCCTTGGTTCTCTGATCAAGCCTTCCAAAATGCTCCCGGGGAAGATGCCAGCTCCTTTTGCAGGGAGAAATTTATCAGTTGTATTCAACCGAGAGACATGGCTTGGGGAGTTCGGGGCAACCGATATGACCGAGGGTTGGAGGTGTATCACCCTAACTTTTGCAGCAGGCAGTTAGGCTTTAGGCAAGCCATTCCCATCCCATTCTTCGATTCTGTTCATTGTGGTACTTCCTTTCGATTATCATCTCCTTCCGAGGCAACCTTCCGAGCTGCCTGACGCAGTCTTGAAGTCATGAGTCAGGCTGCCCGAAAGTCCATCATTCTTAATTTTGAATGCACTTCAGTCTTCTCCTCTTGGTGGGAAGACAAATGGACCAAGAAATATGGAGAAGACTTGAGAGAGACTCATGATCGCCTCTTTAGTCAGCTTTTTCTCAAATCATATCCTAGTTCGGGCGAACTTGGAAATTGGAATGAGATGATCCAAGAGAAGAATCGGTCACTCCTGATAAGTATTTCTTCTTCTTGACTCTGATTTCCCTTATGAAGTCCTCTAAACCTTACTTTGCTTGACTCTGCAGCCCAAGTGGATGTTGAATCGGCATCCATTGAGTCCGAGGATGACTCAGTTGACGCAACAATTCTTCATGGAGCTGCGGCGGAGGCTGAAAGACGAGAAGCTAGAGAAGATGAGGATGTTTCGGAGGATTCAGGGGCTGAAAAAGAAGCGCCCGAAGCCATCACCCAAGTGTCTAAGCGAAGGAAAGCAGTTGTAATTGAGACCTCAGATTTTGATCATGCATCCCTACCCAAGACTAAACGACCAATTCCTACTAGAAAAAGTAAAAGAACCAGAACTGTCCAAACTTTTAAGTTTTCAGCCTCACCTGCTCCAGTTCCTGAAGCGGGCAGAAAAAAGCAAAAATCTTCAAGTGAGTTGTGTTCTTTTCTGTCAGATTGCCACCCTTCTTCTTTATCTATTTACCCTTGTTTTTCTTGA